AAAAAAAAAAAAAAAAAAAAAAATTATAGTGCCATTACCAGTTGAAAAGGCAAGGGGTATTCAGCATGCAAGACAACAAATGTCCACCCCACGGCTTACAATGTTACATATCCAAACCTGAACTCATAAATTCTCCATACCCTGACTCTTCATCTGGAGACTACCATCCTCCCAGGCGTGGCACATGGGAGTCATATTAAACACCTTGATTTTCTTCTTCCCCAACCCCTCAATAGCCAATCAACGGTCAAGTCCTTTCAATGTTTCCTTGGCAATATCACCTCAGCATTTGTATCCTCTTCCCTCCATTCTCATTGCTGCTGATATGATCAGGCCTCACCCTCATTATATCTTGCCTAAACTATTGTGGAAGTCTCCATATGGTCATTTTGCAACTCCATTCCATCGTACTCTTTTCCAGATTGCTTTGAAGCACAGTTTTGATTATGTCACTATCTTCTGTAAAACCTTCTACCATTGGGAATGTAAAATGACATAGATGCTATGGAAAACAGTATGGTGGCTCCTCAAAACAAACAAACAAACAAACAAACAAACAAACAAACAAACATAGAATTACCATATAATCCAGCAATTTCACTTATGGGCATGTATCCCAAATAATCGAAAGCGGGGACTTCAACAGACATTTGTCTATCAATGTCCATAGAAGCATCATTTATAGTAGCCAAAAGGTGAAAGTAGAATGGTGGTTACCAGAGGCTGGGGAAGAGGGGATAGGGCGTTAGTGCTTAATGTATACAGAGTTTCAGTATGGGGTAATGACAAATTCTGCTTACGGATGCACAACGTGAACAGGCTTAACGTCACTGAAATGTACACTTAAAGATGGCTAAACTGTTTAAAAGCAAAACAAAGAACTTCTACCACTCACTTCCCATAGCAGAAAATAAAATCCAAGAGCCTTAATTTAACCATAATAATGCATCTTTCCATATGATTCTTCTTCCATTCCCTCTTGTTCTGTACTTCAACTGATCCCTCGCTTCTTTTACTTGCTCTAGTGGCTGCCTACATATGGCATGCCCTTCCCTAATTCTACTCATTTTTTAAGACCCAGTTCAAGGTTCATATCCTTGCAAATCTTTCCCAAACTCCTGCTATTATTTCATATTAAGTGGAGGTAAGCGCTCTCTTTTTGAACTCCAGCAGCACATGAACTATACCTCTCTTTAGCGCTGCTTTTCTTTTAGGTCAAAGAAGGCACACAATGAGACAGAGGGGTGTGGCTTAAGGAAGTCCAGCTGGCTGTCTAGACAGGTTACATTACAGTGCTAGGACCTTAGGGAATTTACCATGATACAAGAACTGATCTTTAACCTTGCAAACTCAGAAACCTGATTTTAATAGTAAGCAGAGAGTTTATTTCCTGGGGGCGGGGAAGGGGTATCTTGTGTTTGCTAAGCTCACAGAAACTTTTACATAAAGAGGAATCCAACTGATCAGTTGCAATGAAAAATACAATTATCAAAAGAACTGGAATCCTCTAGGTGGCAGATCATTAATTCTGTCCCTATCACCAAGACGCTTGCTGGGTGAATACAGAGGAAAGCATGTTGATCTTAAGAAGCATTTTTAGCCAGTGCGGTAGGTCACGCCTGTAATCCCAGCACTTTGGGAGGCTGAGGTGGGCGGATCACGAGATCAGGGGTTCGAGACCAGCCTGATCAACATGGTGAAACCCCGTCTCTACTTAAAAATACAAAAATTAGCTGGGCATGGTGGCGTGCACCTGTAATCCCAGCTACTTGGGAGGCTAAGGCAGGAGGATCACTTGAACCTGGGAGGTGGAGGTGAGTTGAGAGTGCACCATTGCACTCCAGCCTGGGTGACAGAGCGAGGCTCCCGGCTAGGGATGGGGGAAAAGAAGTATTTCTTAGCTGAGGCGGTCTGAGACATTCTCATCCACTACAGAGATAACATGGACAAGGAAATTCTAATGCTCAGTGGCTTAACCGATACGAGGTTTAGAGGGGCAATGGTTAGTGCTAGCCTTTGTGACTACCTTGTTTTGGGCTGCCATGGCTGAGTAAGCCCTTTTGTTCACAGAATCTCTCTCCAAACAGGGTACAGAATGGCTGACAAGATTGATTAGGTTCCATTTATCAAATTACAATCATATCTGCCTTCTTGAGATTCCTCTAATATGACCTGGATCAGAGTACTTTTTGCTTGTTTTTTAAGACAATGTCTCACTCTGTCACCGAGGCTGGAGTGATCTCAGCTCACTGCAACCTCTGCCTCCTGGGTTCAAGTGATTCTCCTGCCTCAGCCTCCCAAGTAGCTGGGACTACAGGCATGTGCCACCATCTCCAGCTAATTTTTGTATTTTTAGTAGAGACAAGGTTTCACCATGTTGGCCAGGATTGTCTTCATCTCCTGACCTCATGATCCATCCACCTCTGCCTCATAAATGATGGGATTACAGGCATCAGCAACTGTGCCTGGCCCAGAGTGATTTTTTTGGTCATGTCTGTAAAAAAAATGTCTTGGCTTACCCCTACAGATAGCTTATTTCATGGCCGCATTAGTCTGCTTAGCTAGCAGGTTATGCTGCAGTAACAACGAAAACAATCTCAGTGGCTTACAACAAAGATTTATTTATTGTCCACACGACATTCCACGTTATGTGTGTCAGTTGTGGCTCTGCACATCTTCATTCTGGGACAAAAGCTGAAGAGGTAGCTCTATTTAGGACATACTGCTCTTGTGTCAGAGGAAAGATAATACGGCGAAATCATAAGATAGCTCATAAATTTCTGCTGAGAAGTGGTTCATGCCATTTCTACTCACATTTCACAGGTCAAAACAAGGCCAAACTTGATGACATTAGGGGGAGAAGTCTTTCACCCGAATCTCCTAGGGACAAGCTAGATAGCAAGGGCTTTAAAAAGGGAAGGGCAGAGACTGTTGATAATACAGACTACAGCAAGGACTAACATTAGGCTCATGTGTACCAGTTGACTGTTATCAGTTATAGCATTGACTATTAAAGTACTGAAATATTCTAGTACTGTCTGCTAAGTAGCTGCTGTACCTCCAGCACCCTAATTGGATTTCTAATTCTGCTTGTTCAATGCTTGAGCACTACTTGTTGTTAAATACATTCAATACTATTCTTGGCTAATTTCGCCTAATATGTAGATTTTTTTTTTATTTCTGAGGGCAACCCAATTTCCAGGCTTTTGGAAGAAAATGGACTGCAGCACCTAAGTACGGTCAATACTTAATTACAACAACAATCACACTTCCTACACATTTTTACATTTCTTTGGTAAGCATAACATATGCAATAATTGCTCAATACATACTTGTAGAAAGACTTACTTAGCTTTTTTCCATTAGCTAATTTGTCTCTACAATCTCAACATACTATTTTCTTGAGTCTCCCTGTTTATAATTTTATGCCATTTCTGAAGTCTGAAAATGTCATTGTCATTATAAGTAACGTTTTTTTTTTTTTTTTTCTGAGACAGGGTCTTACACTGTCACCCAGGCTAGAGTGCAGTGGCATGTTCATAGCTTACTGCAGTAACTTCTTTATAACACTATTGCAATTTACAAAGCACTCTCACATTATTTCATTCACTCTCCCCACATTACCAAGAGTTAGGAATTAGATTTTTTTACAGAAGAAGAAATAGAGACTCCCCGAAGTCAAGTGTCTTATAGTTAGGTTTTGTTCATTTATTCATCAAATATTTATTGAGTGCCTAAAGCGCGATTTATTGAAACTGGATTTGAAAACAATTTTCCTGAATTTAAGTTAAGGGTTTATTCCACTATTCTCAATTACTTTATCACCAGGGTTATAAACCCACAGGGAGTAACAATGGTGTGTAGATTTTATTGAGGACCCATGCAACATTTGTCAGAAAAGCTCCAATGTCATTTGTAAAATTCAAGGTTACCATCAGCAGAGGCAGTCATTCCTCTCTGTGCTTGTTACCTCGTGCACTAACTCTTACTGTAGGTAATTCCATTTGATGGAATTACTTACTGTAGGTAAAACACATTTGATGACTATACCTATATGTTTTGAAGTTATTCGGATTGGGTTTTGACAGCTACTAGCTGTGGGGCCTTACTTAGATCAAGTTACTTAACCTTTTTGGGCTTCAGTTTTATCATTGTAAAACCGATAAAATCCTGATGCCTTTGGACCAATGGAAATGAAAGAGATAAGTGAAAAAGTCCATGCTCATTGTAGCTCTGGTTTTCAACTGCGTGATAAAGTTTTAAAATCTGCATTCAAATGAGAACAACGTCTACGTGGAAGTAAAGGTACAAGCTAACTATTCTTGCTAAGTACTGTTCTTTATTCTGGAGGGTATCACTTTACAGTTTGGTGTCAAATGATCTCTTTTATGAATTTAAGGCGCCAGTAGCTGTCTACTTGAACAGCATGCTTAATCTGGCATGCCAAGTCGACCTTCATCCTCCAGTTCTCCCCAAATTAAAAACACAAACACACACACGCGTCCCTAGTTATTTCCTAAAATTCAAGCGCACACGCACACGCCCCTACTTATTTCCTAAAATTCAAGCTCGCACCGAAGAGAGTCACAAGGATAGAAAGCCCGGTGGAGGTCACCGGGCAACGCCTCCAGATCAAAAAAGGGGGTGGGGTCAAAACTCTCACTTCTCATTCCGCCTCACTCTGTCGTCGCCCCTTCCCAATTCTCGCGAGACTTCAAGCAGCTCAGCTTCTGTGTGCAGCACGGTAGAGTCTAGGCCCAGGGAGGGGGAAGGGAAAAGGGGAGACCGTGCAAACGGCGTGGCCGCCATCTTGTTTGTGCCCCCGCTTCGCGCGCGCTCCGTTCTCCGTGACGCACGCTTTCCCCTTCCTTCCGCCGTGCCTGGGCCTCTGCATTGCTCGACTCCGCAGGAGCGCGGGGGCGGCTCCTGCTCTTCCTGGACTCCAGAGCAAAGGCGTGTGAGTGTGCGGAAGCTTCCGTGCGAGGGAGGGTGAGAGGGGAGCGGCGGCGGGGGGAGGGGCAGCGCTTCCCGCCTCCGCCGCAGACCTCACTTTCTCGCGCGGTCGCTGCTGTAGCTCGGTCCGGCCTGCACGCCGCCATGTTGTGTTCTCGCCAGCCCCGACGCTGTCGTTCCCGCCGTCGCGCTCGTGGGGTCCGTGCGCCTCGTCGGCCCGGCCCGCGGGCTTTCTCCCATTGGCGGAAGGCGACGGCGGGGGGGCTCGCTCGTGATTGGTTGGTGGCGGGGAGGCCGCGGACCTGGCACCTTATTGGTCGCGCCGGCTCCGGCCTAGGGGGTGATGAAGGAATCTGAGGGTGCGGGGATGCGCGCGTCTTGGTCTAGGGCGGCGGGGGCAATGATCCCCTGCGGCGCAGGCGTAGGGTTGCGGCGGGGGTGCAAGCCTAGAGGCCTTAAGGGGGAAGAGAAGGTGATGGCCTGGCAGGTGCTTTGGGGGTAGCCTGGGCTATGGCCTGGAATGGGGGACATTCATTTTCATAGGTGCTTTTCCTGATACATATATAGCCCAACATGGGAGTGTGCAGGCCCTCAGGGTTCCAGGCCTGGAAACACTGAAACCCAAGTGACCAGCTGAGGATCTTCGAGATCCATGGGTGCCAGTGTGACCCAGTTTGGAAGTGGCCCTGAAGTCCACGGTGTGAGTGCGTGGTATAGGGAAAAAGGCATCAGGGCTAGGAGCACAGATGAAAGGTAGAATCAGATCAGGGATTTTGCTGGAGAGTGCAAGCATTTAAACACTGAGGTTTTGATGGAACCCTGGAGTCCACAGTCAGCGGACCTCGGATGTGATGTGAGGAGCAAGTAAACCGAGAAAGGGATCCTATTGATACACCTATCAATAGCATTAAGTAGTGTCAGATGTAAAGTGAGAAAGTCTGATGTAGGAAGCATTTTCTGATGTAGGAACGTTTTCAGACTTCGGGAGTGTATTAATAGAGCAGTTGTAGATTATCGAGTCTCAGGACCATGCAGCTAGTTTTGAGATGTTGTATATTCAATTTGCTGCTCTGGCTGGTCATGGTGGCTCACGTCTGTAATCCCAGCACTTTGGGAGCCTGAGGCAGGCGGATCACCTGAGGTTGGGAGTTCGAGACCAGCCTGACCAACATGGAGAACCCCGCCCCTCCGTCTCTACGGGCATGGTGGCGCATGCCTGCAATTCCAGCTACTTGGGAGGCTGAGGCAGGAGGATCCCTTGAACCTGGGGGCGGGTGGGTGGGGCGCGGAGATTGCGGTGAGATCTCCAGCCTGGCAACAAGAGTGAAACTGCGTCTCCAAAAAAAAAAAAAAAAAAGAAAATTTGCGGCGGCTCTAGGGAGGATACAGGTCATAGCTGAATTTCCAAAGCTATATTAGCAAATATTAGGTACTTGGTAGTTATTTGTTGAGTAAATACTGTTAGATTCCTCTTTAAGGGGAAGGGAGCTAGCCAGAAATTTTGGATCTTGGTTTTATTTCCTTGTATACGTGCCTAAAAAGTATACTCACTCCCATGTGTGCTTTGATGTTTTATTTGTTTTTTCTTTTCTTTTTTTTTTGACGGACTCTGGCTCTGTCACCCTGGCTGGAGTGCAGTGGCACAATCTTGGCTCACTGAAACCTTGGCCTCCCGGGGTCAAGCAATTCTCCGCCTCAGTCTCCCGAGTAGCTGGGATCACAGGTGCTCGCCACCATGGCCAGCTAATTTTTTTTTTTTTTGGTATTTTTAGTAGAGACGGGGTTTCGCCATGTTGGCCAGGCTAGTCGTGAACTCCTGACCTAAGGTGATCCACCTGCCTTGGCCTCCCAAAGTGCTGGGATTACAGGTATGAGCCACCATGCTCGGCCTGTTTGTTTTTTCAAATAAGCAGCTCCAAACAAAAAAAAAGCCAATGGCTGGCTTCTTAAGGAACAGGACTTGTCAACACTTTCTGGTTTATATTCCAAAATTTTTATTCCACTCAGAGTCGTTCCATTTGACTTGTTGGGGATATGTTCTTTTCCACTGAATCTTAATCATAGATATTTATATTGCTTTACATTTGCTCCTCCCAATGTGTGAGGGCCATGGAAACACATTTATGTTAAACCTCTGTGTTTTCCTAATTTGTTTTTCCTTGTTTTTGTTAGGTTGTCCTTTTAGCTTTAGATATGACTCTTCTGTTTTCATATCAAATTCAAGAAACTTCTATGGTTTTCAAATTTACTCAGTTTTATGTGAATGCAACTAAAGTTTCTGGAGAAGGGAATTGATAAGTAGTAGAGGAAGAGAACTGGTATTTTGGGGCACATTTTAACACAAGTAGATAGGCATTATCATCCCAATGTTGCAGATGAGGAAACTGAGGATCAGAGAGGTTAAGTAGCTTGTCTGGTGTCACTCAGTAAGTGGTTGAGCTGGAATTCAAACCCAGGTTGCCTGATGCCAAAGCCCGTAATTTTATATGCTACATTATGCTATCAGCATCAACCTGACTGATCAAACTTCCAGATAATTTTATATTTCCAAGTGGATCATCTACTTTGATTTCTGGATGTTTAGAGTATATTAAATGGAAAACTATAATGCGTAAGAATTTGTTGTGCTTTTTAAGTATTCAGACCACAGAATTGTAACTATATAGAATATGGGTTCTTAAGCTAGGTATTCAATCATATCCCTTGGTTTCTATTGTGTAAAGGAAGATTTACAAAGTAAATTGCTGCATTTTTCCTGAGCCCAGCTAGATAATGGGGAAAAATATGTACAGAAACTTGAAATATGTGCATTCCTTAAAACCAGGTTTCAGAATATATTGCAGATAGTCTTTCTGTATACGAAAGTAATTTATGCCAAGCAGTGAGGAACTACCACATGCATAGTGTAAAGAGCTCACTGGAGAGGTTTTCCAAACATCACCAGTTCCTTAGGGTGTCTCCAAATACCAGGACCTATTCAAAGGCCTAGTGCTTTCTTCAGACTTATTGATTCTAGGATATGCTTATCCTGAACAATGTGTTAAATTAAGACTGGGTAGGACAAAATATTTGCAGTTCCAATTTTGCATGGAAACCTTTGAATCAGGTTTTGAGGGGAGACCAGTGAGTTGGAGGTCTTAATTGCCTTGTCTTGATGTGCTTAGTTGAAGCCCTCCCTCATCTTTATTTGCAGTAACATTTCATATGGAAGATAGAGGCAAAACTACAAGTGAAAATAGGGTTTGCCATGCATTTTGTGCATTGGTCATTTCAGCCTCTTTGGCTCGGTCATCAAGTTAACCAAATATGAAGAATGATGTAGATATGTAACTTAGTTTCTTTTTTACTAAGGCTAGACAAAGTGAGAAAAAGGAGTGTATATGTATACCTTTATTATTCAGCAGGCATTTCTGGAGCAACCTGCCCTTCAACATTGTTGGCCACCTTCATTCCATGTTAGCCCCTTACACCCATGGCCATCTTCTTATCATCTGGAGTTGACCACTCTAGAAATCTTTAACTCTCAGGAAATCTCAGTAGGTCTGAGTTTATATTTAAAACTTGTGAACCTCAGCTTCTTGTTTTTTTGGGGATGGAGTCTCTTTCTGTCACCCAGGCTGGAGTGCAGTGGTACGATCTTGGCTCACTGCAACCGCCACCTCCTGGGTTCAAGTAATTCTCCTGCCTCAGCCTCCTGAGTAGCTAGAATCACAGGCGCGCACCACCACATCCAGCTAATTTTTGTATTTTTGATAGAGACAGAGTTTCACCATGTTAGCCAGGATAGTCTCGAACTCTTGATGTTGTGATCCACCTGCATTGGCCTCCCAAAGTGCCGGGATTATAGGCATGAGCCACTGCGCCCAGCCTCAGCTTCTTCTTATAAGCAGAAATCATACTAAGCTTTATACTTTATAGGCTGTGTCCATGTCATCTTATTTAATTCTTGTGACAAATAATTCTGTTACCTCATTTATACTACATACTTTGTCTTTGGTCAAAACTACTAGAGGCTGGACATGGTGGCTCATGCCTGTAATCCCAGCATATTGAGAGGCTGAGGCGGGTGGATCACTTGAGGTCAGGAGTTCAAGACCAGCCTTGCACATGTGGTGAAACCCCGTCTCTACTAAAAATACAAAAATTAGCTGGGCGCGGTGGTGGTCACCTGTAATCCCAGCTACTTGGAAGCTGAGGCAGGCGAATCGCTGGAACTTGGGAGGCGGAGGTTGTAGTGAGCTGAGGTTGTGCCACTGCATTCCAGCCTGGGCAACAGAGCAAAACTCAGTCTCCAAATAAAATAAAATAAAATAAAAATCCCAAAACTGTACTAGAGAATATTTTACGAGGTATTTTTATCCCTTTTTTATTTTCAGAGAAATGGAGGCAAAGTGAAATGAGGAATCAGACCACAGGATTATAACCATATATGGGCTCAACCCATTCTATGCTAGGGAGCTATGTGGGGTGTCTTTTTTTTTTTTTTTTGGCTGGGGGGAGGCAAAGTCTTGCTCTGTCACCCAGGCCTGAGTGTAGTGATGCGATCTCGGCTCACTGCAATCTCTGCTTCCTGGGTTCAAACAATTCTCCTGCCTTGGCCTCCCGAGTAGCTGGGATTACAGGTGCCTGCCACCACCTCCGGCTAATTTTTTGTATTTTTAGTAAAGACGGTTTCACTGTGTTGGCCAGGGTGGTTTTGAACTCCTGACCTCATTTGGTTTGCCCGCTTTGGCCTCCCAAAGTGTTGGGATTACAGGCGTGAGCCATAGATTTGTAATTCTTAATTCTTTGTAAGTGAAGCCCTTACTCTTAAACACTGTGTCGACATCATAGAATATTTTGGGAAAAGAGGCTGGGCATGGTGGCTCATGCCTGTAATCCGAGCACTTTGGGAGGCCGAATCTGGCGGATCACCTGAGGTCAGGAGTTTGAGACCAGCCTGCCTAATATGGTGAAACCCCGTCTCTACTAAAAATATAAAAAAATTAGCCGGCGCGATTGTGGGCGCCTATAATCCCAGCTACTTGGAAGGCTAAGGAAGGAGAATCACTTGAACTGGGGAGAGAGAGATTGCAGTGAGCCGAGATCGCACCACTGCATTCCAGCCTGGGAGACAAGAGTGAAACTGTCTCCAAAAAAAA